GGCGGAGCCGCACGCACCGGGGGCTGCCACCTCGCTCTCTCCTCTGAAGTCCCCTCCGCAGCTCGAGCGCGAGATGGTCTCCTCTCCAGAGTGCAGCGAGATGCCTCTCGATCTCTCCTCCAAGTCCAATCGTCAGAAACTGCCTCCGCCCAGTCAACGCAAAACACCTCCTATGCCCATCCTCACACCCGTGCACACCAGCGGCAAAGCGCTTCTCACCACCGTCCTGTCCAAGTCCCAGCGCGCGGCCCAGACTACGGGCAGCAACGTCACCTCGTGTCTCGGCACCACCCCTCCCTTGGTCATCTTCCCTGAGTTCCTGCGCAACGGTGAGCAGGGGTCCTGGGTGAAGAACACCACGCTCATCAGCACCATTCCGGGCACCTACGTCGGCGTCGCCAACCCGGTGCCTGCCTCGCTGCTGCTCAGCAAGGACCCCGGTGTGAGCTTCAGCAGGGACCCGCGCCACCTTCCCAAGCAGGAGCCTATTTCCATCATCGATCAGGGAGAGCCTCGCAGCGCTGGTGTTCCCTGTGGGAAGAAAGCCAACCAGGTCAGCACAGAAGGACAGCAGGATCCTGCCAGGAGACTTCTTCATGGCAGAGTTGCTCCGGGAGCTCCTTTGTGTCAGTCCAAGGACATCTCCACCTGGAATCCCGGCCAGGGAAGTGTATACCCGCGATGCCCCGTGAACGGAAAACCTTCCAATCCTCAGCTTCTGCCTCTCGGCTGGTCTCCTTATCATCAAACCCCCCTGCTTTCAATTGGCATCTCCACGACAGGACAGCTGCCCCCCAACCAGAACAGCTCCTGCAAGCCAGCTGGTGCAGGTGAGCTCCCGACGTTCCCAAGCGTGCAGCCCACAGAGTCCAGCGCGGCCGCCCAGAGCCTGCCTGAGGGGCTGCCCAGGCTCCCACCTCAGGAACGGGAAGCTGCAGCCAAGAACAAGAGCTGCCGAGCCTTGCCCAAGCTCTACGAGGAGCCGGCCAATCCAGCCCCGCTGGATGCAGGTCCATCGCTTCAGACCAGTGCTTTGGATGTGCAAGGTGGGAAGGGGAAGCTGGACAACCCTCACAAGAGTCAAGAGAGCGATCAACCAGAGGCTGACTCCAGCAAGGAGGACAATGTACAAACTGAGGCTCCCCAGGGGAGCTGTAGCCTCAAACAGTTGGATGCAAAGCCTAAAAACCAAGTGTTAGCGGCATATTTGTCGCATGATCTGCCCGCGGCTGGGCAGCAGAGCCTGCGAATGATTTCAGAGGTGCCCACTCTGCCCGCGGAGAGTCAACGCAAGGAGCTGGGCTGCGAAGGCTCCCAGGAGCCACCAGCTGCAGAGCCCCTCCAGTGCGTGCGTCAGGTGGATCTGTGCAGGGTCAAGAAGGAGCGAGTGGAGTGCGACATGTCGTTTACTTCTGTGACTTGCCTGCGAGCTGGGACTGCTTCCCAGGCCTTTGCCGAGGTCAAGCTCAAAGGAGCAGGCCAAATCAAGCAAGAGGGCAGCGTGCGCTGCAAGTCCAAGCGGCAGCATGATGGGGACGCCCGGCAGGCCCACAAGAGACTGAAGTGCCAAGCCCAGGACGGCGAGGAGTCCCCAGGCAAATCGGGGAGCCGGAGTGTGCATGGCCGGAAGGTGTGTGGGACGGGCTGGGACTGTTGGGTTACGGCAAAGGTTAGCAGGCGAGGTTGGGGTGAGGAGGGAGCCCTCGCAGGGGAGGGCAGCTGAGCGCACAGGGCTTTCCGCCTCATGCTCTGGCATGGATGAGTGTACCCATGTCTGCAGGTTATCTAGAGCAAAAATGGATCTGGGGTGTCAAATACGGATCTGGGGTGTCAAAAATGCTGGAGGGCACCAGCATGATGAGTGGGGGACAGCGTTTTGTCCCTTCTCCTTTGCTACTCCAGCTCAGTCAGTCAGCAGCTCAAGCTTCAGCCTGTGTCCTCCGTTCACAGTGGCGAAAACACCATGACAATCCGCATGAACTCAGCAAGCGAGAAGGCCGATCCAGCCTGGGATCAGTGAAGGATCACAACAGCCTCAGGGTAAAGCGTAAGCGCAGGAGGCCGGTGAAGACAGAGTTCCCATCTCCGGCGCACCGTGGGGATAGCCATGAGGAAGGTACTTTTGTGAATGGCAATGTGTTCTTCCAGGGTCAGGCTGCAGCGGTTCCTGCTGCCCCGACACCTGCGAGGCCAAACCACCGCTCTCCTGAAGCTGAATGGCCTCTGGAGCTGGTGGCTTCCCATAGCGGATCGGGATCCAAAATAGAGCTGCAGCGTGATGCTGGACTGCCCTTCCCAGGCCAGCAGATGTGCGTGCACAGATCTGCGGCATGTTTTCTCAAGGCTTACTTTTTCCTACAGGTTACCTTGAGAAGAAGCCCAAGAACAACTTTCGGGATTTCATTCCGGTGGTGCTGAGCAGCCGGACGCGCAGTCAGTCGGGTGAGTTGGTGCCAGGGGACCCAGGTGGGAGCCCTGGGTGGGCTGTGAGCACTTCCCTGGTTAGTTGGCCTTGTGCCTGTCTTCTGTCCTGCCTTGCAGGGCTTTTCTTGTAGATACTCCTGGCTTTTTTGTCAGCTAGGAATCCCACTTTCTTGCAGGAAGCATCGCCGGCTCTTCTGCTAGTGTGACGGGAGAGTGCGATGTGACTGGTCAGGAGATTTTACCGTTGCTGGAGGAGGATCAGGAAGAAGAGGAGGAGGAAGAAGAGGAGGAGGAGGAGGAGGAGGAGGAGGAGGAGACATCCCTGAAACGTCGCAAGCTGCGAAAATCCCACAGGACGTCACGCTATCACAGTCGCAGGGCCAGGGACAGGTCTCTGTCCGAGAGGAGCAGCTGTTACACGAGGAGGACCCGGGAGCTGCCCTGGAGAGTGGAATCACCCAGGCAGCTGTGGGAGCCCAATGAGGAGGAGGAAGATGACAGCCACATCAAAAGGAAGAAAAGGAGACGACAGAAAAGTCGGAAATACCAGACAGGGGAATATTTGACGGAGCGAGAGGAGGAGCGAGTGGGCTACCCCCACAGGAGGCGAAAATCCAAAGCAGGTACAATCTGGGAAGGGGTTTCTGGTACCAGGCTGGGGATCAACATGGGGTTTTTTTGGTTTGTTGCCTTTTATGTTGTGCGTGGGATTTTGGGGTGGGTGGGTTATTTTGGGGGGATTTTTGTAATGATGAAACTCCATCGTTATTAATGGCTTGATGTCCACAGCACGGGCCGCTTCAATTGATCAGCTCTTCTTTCAAAAATATTTACAGTAAATTTCTGAGTAGGAAACAGCAGCTTATGTGGCTAATTAGATACTGATCTTACCCTCAGATTAAGACAGAGGGCGTGGGAAAATGAGAATCGGACGAGGTAGCACAGTGAAATATTTCTGGACAAGCATGGGCCCCTGGGAGTGGTGTTCAGCATTCCTGGCTAAAGTAGAGGGACATGGAGCCATCACAATTCAACTGGGCTTCTTTAGGCTTTGTCTTGCTTTATTAAGGCAACTTGCAAGCTTGCACCAGGGAGCACAAGGGAGAGGATTAACAAAGCTAGAGTGTCTGCAAGCGACGGAGAAATCCCCCTCTGTGGTTCGTATTTGCAGCTTTGCTGGGAGGACACCTGCCTGTGTCCTGCTCACTGCTCTACCTCTGCTCTTGCGTTTTCTCCTGTAACTTCCCAGACCAGGTGGTCAAAACTAAATCTGTGATCTGTGTTTCTCTGAGGTTTAGCAGTTTCCACAGTCCCTCCTCTCTGTCCGTGCAGGGGCAGTTTGAGGCTGTTGGAAGTAAGGCTGGGGTGTGCACTGGTGTCTCGGGGTGTGTGCTGACAGCTGGCTGGGAGCTCGTAGTTGCGAAGGAGTGTCCCGCAAGTAACTTCTGTCAGGGTTGCAGAGAGCATGTCCGAGCCAGAGTGTTGGGGGGAAACACTTCTGCCAGCCTCCGGGCCCTCGGGCCGTTCTCTTGGAGGTGATGTAGCGCATACGGACCTGTTGCCTTCTGCCACATCGGTGCTCAGATCGACCATCCTCGGGAGAGGCTGAGATGCTGCTGAGGCGCTGTGAGAAGTAGTAGAGGTGGCCGCTGTCCTCCTACTATCTGATCTCCAAGCTCTGTTTCTGCTCTGGCACAGTTACGCTATTGCTGCAGTGTCTGGCTGCCTCTGTGAGACCAGGAGTAAAGTTTCTGATGGGCCTCCTGGCACCTTTGCTGTTCAAGGGCGCTCTCAGACTGTGTCCTGATGATGCCTGTTCCAAACGGAGCCTGAGAAGGAGGTTTGAGTGCAGCAGCATTCGGGAGGGTTTTCTCTTAAGAGTGTCTGTCTTCTGTCCAGAAGCCAGTTCCCCTCAGGAACTGCTTGCTCGGCCCTCAGATAGGGATAGCTCAGCTACGGTTGGGGTGCACGCGTTGGTGAGAGCACTAAGCCAGTGGTGTTCCTCTGCCTCCTTTGGATACTGAAGGGAGTGGAAACAGATGTGGATCCCTGCCAGAGCCGCGTGTTGGACCTCTGGGCTAGAGGAACCCACTGTCCACCTCCCCTCTGAGCTCAAAGCAGTGATGGTGTCGCTGTGTTTTCCGCCTGCTTGGTGTGCAGGGGCTGCTGGAGTGTGCCGCCTGCAAGCGCAGACCATCCTGTTCGCTATGTGTTGTCTGATGTGGCAGCATTTTACCACTTTCTCTTCACCTACCAGTCAGAGACTTGACTCTTCCTTGCCATGTTCCCGACTCTTCTTAGGTTCGTGCTGTTTGCTACCTGTCTCCTCCGCAGCCCAAGGGTGCTGTTTATGCGGGGAAGGTGTTCCCTGACACGCGTCCTGCCAAGTGAGGTGTATTTCACGCTACAGTGACGGCCTTTGCTCTAGAACGCAGAGTCCCCGCACACTGGCAGAAGGAATCAGATATCGGAAGGAGCATCTCAAGTCCTTGCTTACTGCGCAGAGGGAGGTGTATGGCATCATACAAGTCCAGGCGGTTATTTGCTCACGGGCCTTGCTTTCTCGTTCCACACTTTGTTTCCCCATTGCTGTCGTGCCTTCGCTACGGGATGTTGCTGTTTCACAGAAGCAGAGCGCCTGTCCTTGTGCGATGCGCAGGGCTCCGTAGTGAGCAACCCCGCAGCTCTGTATAGTGCGAGGAAGCAAAGCCTGGATTTCCTTTGAGGCAGCCTGGTGCTTCCTACCTGCATGCATATTAATTGAAAATTTAATGTGCTACTTAACTTAAAGGGACAATATGAAAGGACAAGGCAGGGTCTGGTTTTGCAGGCAGCAGAGCAGTGTCTGTTCACAGGCAGGTTAAAGGGGGTACCTCCCACGTTTTCTGTCTCTCTAAGGGGTATCCCACCTGAGTCCTGCTCAGCCTGGCAGGTAGGGCAGCGCACATATGGCAGCATGCAGTTTCCAAACTGCTGGGAAGCGTGCTGACAAGCTGGATTGTTTCGTACTGGGTTCCCTGTCAGACCTAAGGAAAAGCCTTAGTCAGCTGTGTGCAAGCCCCAGCTCTCAGCAGGCTTGGAGTTTTCAGACCAGGGTGGCTGTCTGTCATTGTGCGTCCCGTGTCCACGCTGAGTCCGTCCCTGACGGGGAGCATCTGCAGATTCACTCTGCTTCTGCTTACTGCAGTGCCTCTGCCGTGGGCCTGGACTTCTGGATGTGCAGCCATCACAGATGGGCAGTTTGTTTTGCCTGGTGGCAGAGATCTGGGCTGCTGGCCTCCCGTGCTGTGCCTACAGAAGCTCCTCATTCCCATTTCTCCTTTAGATTTTAGGTATCGGAAGCAGAAGGAGTCTGTGAAGGGTAAAGGCACAGAGCTACGACTGAGGAGCAGACTTTCCCCATCCCCCCGAAAATCTCAAGGACGCCCAGACTTTCGGAATGGCTTCTTCCTGGAGCACTCGGACAGCTCTCCCGTCCAAGAAGAGCTGGAGAAACCATCAGGAAAACGCAAATGTAAAACCAAACACTTGGCAGGGATCTGTGACGAGGGGAAGGTATGGCTTGGGCCGACGAGGGGAACACACACACAGGGAGAAGAGAGAGAAGGGGAGTGGTAGTAAGCCATGGCCACATGTGCCAAGGAGTTGTATTCCTTTCTTTTCCAGGGGAAAGGCTGCTGGACCCAGCCCAAAATGCACTCTCTGAAGAAGCCCCAGGACTTGTGGACGCTTTGTAAGTCCCGTCGGGTCAGCCCAGGGAGTTCTCCTGAATTGCCTGTGGCCCAGGACATTCCTCCTGGAGCTCGGCGGCTGATTGTGAACAAAAATGCAGGAGAGACCCTTCTGCAGCGAGCAGCTCGCCTGGGCTACAAGGTGAGTTTTGGTGCCCTTTTCCGCTTTGTCCCCTGCGCTGCCTCACCTGGGTTTGTGTAACCGGGCCTGCAACGATCTCGTTCCTGTAGGACGTAGTGCTGTATTGCCTGCAGAAAAAGAGCAGTGACGTGAACCATCGGGACAACGCTGGCTACACAGCTCTGCACGAAGCCTGTGCGAGAGGATGGATCGACATCCTCCACATTCTGCTAGAGCACGGCGCCAACGTGAACTGCAGTGCGCAGGATGGCACAAGGCAAGCCAGCAAGAGGGGGAGGTCCGGGGCAGCACCGAGAACCGTGGGGGCAAGGAGCAGGGCGCGCGTTTCAGGATGAGCTGCAGGTCATCACTAGATTTGTCTTAACCCAAAACAGAGCATGTGCTTTGCGAACTCTTCCCGTCTCTTCTTTTTCTGCCAATGCTTCTGTCCTTGCAGGCCTGTCCATGATGCAGTAGCAAATGATAACCTGGAAACCATGTGGCTTCTACTCTCCTATGGTGCTGATCCCACTCTGGCCACTTACTCTGGGCAGACAGCTGTGAAGCTTGCCACCAGCGACGTGATGAAGCGCTTCCTCAGCGGTAGGTGCCAAGCCTGGGGGTGGCAGTGCTTCTGTCCTTCCTGTCTGGCAGCATACGGGACCAGCTCTGGGTGTCAAAGGGTTTAGGAGCGCTTGAGCAGGAGGTGACTGAATAATTTTAGCTCTGCCCTGTCACGAGTGTGTGTTTTTACCACCCAATCTTTAATTATAGAATTATATACCATTTTCCAAACAAGATACAAGTCACTTTTCAGTCTTTGAGGTACAAGGAAAAGGCAATGCTGTGGTCACACAACTAAAGGCAGTGCTGTGCCTGAGGCTTGGAGATGCTGTTCCACAGTTCCTGGTTCTACTGCATAACCTAAATGAACATATTTTTGCTGCCAAGTTACGATGCCTTTGACTCAAAATCAGCTCTGCTCGGTGCTGCCTGCCTGCCGTTGTTAGAAAGGACCATTTTGGATCCCCGTGACCAAGAGTGAAGGGTGCCTGCTTTCTGCGCTGTTTGTGCAGAAGCAAGATGAGTGTCGTGGCTTCTACACAACAGCAAGGAAGAGGCAGCTAGAGTAGCAGTGGTTCCCAGATAGGTACGAGGCAGAAAATCTCCAGTTTTAAAACATCTCATTTGCCAGCTGTCTGTCTGTGCTCCTCCAGGCGTAACTGTACATGCAGGTGTTGGAGATGTAATTTTGAACTCAAGACAACCCTAAGAACTTTTCTTTCCATCGCACTTAGTGCTGCCAGTTGTTTTCTCCTTTCAGCTTCTATTCCGTGTTCTCAGGCCGGGGTCATGTTGTCCCCTCCTGAGCGAGGGTCCCCTTCTTGCAAGTTGTGGTTCGGCTTTTGCCATCACGCCTAACTGCAAAGTGGGGGAAAGCAGCAGAGGTGAAGTGGCTCACCCAGGATCGAGGGATACGCATACCAGGATCATGCTTTGACTAGCAAATAAGCATTAACCCTCTCCATTTTTTTCTTTTTAGATTACCTTTCGGATCTCCAGGGGCGCACTGATGGAGATCCTCGAACAGCATGGGACTTCTACAGCAGCTCTGTACTAGGTGAGTTCCGTCTATGCCGTTTCGTTTACAGCAGCAGAGCAGAGAGAAGGAATGCTAGGAAATGACTGTCACATCATTCCCTCCGGTCTGTCCGCGTCCCTCCCAACCCGTGTCTTCAGATCTTGCCGCAATGTTACGTGCTGGGAGTTGCTCCTGGAAGGAGCAGCTTTTTCTTTGGGAAGCTGCGCGTGTGGATCCCTCCAACAGGCTGAACTCCAAGTGCTGCTGGTGATTCCTGAGGGTCTTCGGCTGTCAGTCCCGGAGCACGTTGTTCTTGTAGCAACTGTTGTTACTCCCCTGCTAACCAGTCATCAAGATAAACCCAAGGAAGGCAGAGGACACGCTTATTCCTTCAGGGTGTGAAAGTCTTGAACTTCCAGGTTCCCAGAGCTGCCCATCCTTCTCCTCTGCTTTGGAGGGGAGGCGTTCGTGCGGGGGAGGTCCTCTCCTGACAATGCCAGGCATTTCCCAGTGAAGGCAGGACTTGTACCTTTCACTGTCACTTCCTGAAAATTGTGGTTACCAGCTTAGAAGTTTTCTTGAAACGATACAGGCACTAGGTCCACAAATTGTTGGCTGTGTTGCTCCAGTTCCCCCAGGGTCCGTGAACGAAGATGCTCTGGGTCTAGCCGTGGGCCTGTGGCAGACTGCGGAGTCCCTCCCGACCACTGCTGAGACAGTAGATCAGCGTTCTCGAGCCCTTCATAAAGATGTGGTTTATTTACGCTGGCAAGCTAAAAGGCTGTTGATTTTAGTTGCTCACCCCTGTCATGTCTGACATCCTTCTGGAAATGAAAAAGATCAGATACATATGGAAGGGTGCTCTTGGTAGAGGACTTCTCCTTGGAGGACCCTGATGTCTCTTCATTTTAGAACAGACGAAATTCTGTACTCCTAAGAACGCTTTGTTCGTAGGCTTTTGCACCTCAGGCATGCCAAGGAAACCGTTCAAACCTCCTTCCTCTGGATTTCTCACTCTTGAAGCTATCACAGTCCTTTAAGAAGAAGCCTCTTTACCACAAGAAAAATAGCTATTCTTTGACTGTAATATTTTTAAAGATAGTAACCCCTTTTGATTTATCACTGATTCCCACTTGGATTTCTCTGACAAACAAGGAAGGAAATTTGCGTGTGGCTTTGTGGGAAGGAGAGTTTGGTTCTCTTTGGTTCCTACAGCATGCTGAGTTCCTGGTTACCCAGAGAGCTTATGTGCCTGAGTTCTAGTCTATGTCATGTCTAGTTCTAGTCATCTGCCTATGTCCCGTTCATCGGTGTCCTTTCCTCTTGAAGATCCTGGCATGGGATTGTAGGCTGCCAATTCTCATACCCTCTAGGAGACCCACTGCCACGTGCAAGTAATTTAGAAACGTGCCATCTTGTTTTTCATACACCCTAAGGCCTGAAATGAAACGGGCGGCTCTTGGAAAAGGAAGCTGATTGCATTTCGTTCAAATTAGCTGCTTGTTTCAGTCCTTTAATTTCCATATTACAGAATCCCAGACTGGGCAGGGACCTCCCAGCCCACCCAGTGCCACCCCTGCCATGGGCAGGGACACCCTCCACTAGCCCAGGTTGCCCAAAGCCCCATCCAACCTGGCCTTGACCACTGCCAGGGAGCCAGGGGCAGCCACAGCTTCTCGGGGCACCCTGTGCCAGGGCCTCAGCACCCTCACTGGTGCCAGTTTCTGCCTCACATCCCATCTCCATCTCCCCTCCTGCAGCTTCAGGCCATTCCCCTTGGCCTGTCACTCCCTGCCCTTGTCACCAGCCCCTCTCCAGCTTTCCTGGAGCCCCTGCAGGGACTGGAAGGGGCTCTAAGGACTGGAAGGCTGCTACATCCCTTGGCTTGTCTTGAAAAATCTTGCCTTGCATCATGTCTTCCCGCATTTCTGTCCTCCACCCCTGCAGGCAAAAAGAAAGGGATTCTTTGTTTCAGTAAGCAAACCATCACCGACTCTCTTGGTGTTTCTTGGGGGTTGGAGGGGTATTGGGACGCCATCAGTGGTGGCGGTTCACCGCTCACAAGGGCCTTGCTTAGAGACTTGGCTAATACATGGAAAATCTCCACAGGGAGTGCTGGCAACTGCACTTCTTCTCCTTTAGGCTGCCAGGTCTGTTTTCAGCGGGCACGGGAAGGGACCTTCCTCTTCATCCACCTTCCCAGGGCAGGGAAGTACCTGCTTCTGCTTGGGAGGAACTGAGCTGCTCCCAGCTGCCACAGGCAGCAAACCAGCTCAGCAGAAAACAGTTCTCCTCCTTCAGTGGTTCAGCCCTTCAAAGTTTCCCTTTCCATCAGCTCCACCAGCTGCAGCACAAAACTTCGCAGGTCCCTCAGGCTGGAGGAGAAATCCCAGGCCCTGCTCGATCTGTTTCTATTCTTTGAGGCAGGAATGTTCTCCACATTTTCCTTTAGATCTGCAAATCTCTGGGGGCCAGAAGATAATGAGGGAAGGCAGGGTGTGGGATCTCTGAGGTCTGAGTATGGTAAAGCCATCAGCGCCTTGCACTCCTGATCCAAAGTCCCACCGCAGGGTTTTGTTCTACACCTGGGACGAGCATTGTTGTGCCTGATTGTCTCCCTGTTACTCTGCGGTGGTACAGGATGTTCTTGTTCTTGCTCAGGCTAAAGGACAGGACTGAGTGAGAGGAGTTTTCAGGACAGACATTGGACCATACCGTTGCCACATTAAATGCATCTAATTCTTTTTCCTGGGTTGCTCAAGAAATGTGAGTTTTCCTGGTGATGGCACCTGAGCTTTGCCTAGCAGTGATGTTGGCCAATATTCACGTCACTTATTTTTGTCCTATTCTACAATAAGTTTTGAAGATTTAAACACCCTGCTTTTCTGTTTCTTAAGGATTTTTTTTTTTTTCCTTGGCAGGACTAAGAAATTATTTCTTTTTTTTCCTGAGACCCCATTTGAGCCTGTGTGTCCTATCATCTGCTGTTGTTTCTCTATTAAAATAACATTCTCGCTGGGTGCTGCGTTTGTTCGCAGAGCAGTATGGTGCGTGGAGCTTTCTCATGCAGCACACCACAAGATTTTTTTGCAGCCTTTTCTCTCGTGCGTGGTGTTGAACTTTTGTGTGATTGGTTTATTCGCTCACCAGCACATTTGGTCTGACTTCTCTCTGTAGAATCTAAACTTTATTTTCTGGAAGTTTTGGATGTTATCCTGTATTATCTCAGCAGGACAAAACCATGGTGCAAACCCAAGAGTATTCATACCTCTTAGTAATAAAATCCAGACAGCAAGCTATTTTTCAACGGATGCTTTTCAGATTGGTGAATAGTAAATTTAACTGTCTTGAAATGGAGAACAGCACACTTGATCCATAAACCATCTCCTGTGGAAGCAAATCCTGCTGGAGCTCAGACACCTCCTGGAACAGCCAGCTTTGTGCCAGAAATCTGTGGGGCCGGTTCTCTGAAGTCACGCCTATTCCTGTTTGGTTGTATTAGGCTCTACGTCTGCTGCACCGTTTGGTGGCACAGCCTCGCAGTCCTTATTTAGCCACAGTAGCTGGCACGCACCTCCCGATAACCTGCTGACAGTTGCCAGCAGTGGGATCTGGGTGGAGAAGCGGAGCACGGTGCCTTCCTTTGTAGGATCTGTGCAGACAAAGCATCTCATACGTCCACCTCCTTCCTCTCTGGCGCGGGTTCTTCCAGGCTGAGGAGGGTTGTGCTGGCAAAGGGGGCTGGGGGGGACACGTGTGGGATCAGTGTAAACCTGAAGGTCGCTGCTATGACATAAGATGTTCTTTCCACCTGACCCGGTCACCGCTGTGCAGAGCAGCCAGCGCTCACTCAGAGTCTCTCTGAGACGAGGGGCTGGAGGGAGAGCCAAAGGAGCCCTTGGGACTTGGCTCCTGCAGTCACTGGGACATCGTGGGAGGGAAGGCGCACGTGAGATTGTGGTGGTAGCCGGTGCAGCCGGGCAGAGCTCTTCCCCAGAGAGCGATGAGCGCTGGCTGGTGTGAAACTGAGCGATGCCAACGTCTGTTTTGCTTGTTGCAGAGGGGAAAGATACCATTGGATGCGATCTTCTGCTCAACCCTCCAGGAAGTTCAGACCAGGAGGAAGAAGAGCAAGAAGCAGACAACTTCATGTTTGAGTTCTCAGACAAGCCCCTGCTGCCCAGCTATAACCTCCAAGTGTCAGTCTCTCGGGGGTGAGTATCTTTGCCTGGAGCAGGGAGCGTTTGGGTGACATTAATGCTGGGGCAGAGAGGGAGCAGAGCCCTTGAGCTGGTGAGGATAGCAGCAGTACAGGAGAGCCTTTGGCTGTCCTCCAGGGGAGGGACAACACGACATGTTTGTGTATGTGCGAGCTGTGGACGAGGAGCAGGTGGAGAACAGTGCCTGGAGCTCGCCATCAGCGCCGCGTCGAGGGGAGGGCTGGCGTGCCAGCAGCTGGGAGGTGGTGAGGTGAGCAATGTGCCTGCAGACCCCTCCACTCCTAACCCACCATCCTCTTGCCGTCCTCACAGGCCCTGCAACTGGTTCCTCTTCTCCGACGTGCTCAAGCGGCTGAAGCTGTCCTCCCGCATATTCCAGGCCCGCTTCCCGCACTTCGAGATTGCCACGCTGCCCAAGGCGGAGTTCCAGCGCCAGGTCTCTCTCAGCCAGGTGCTGGTGCAGGAGGAGGTGCAGGAGAGCCCCGAGCCAGCGCAGGGTGCTGCAGAGACAGTGGAGCTGGTGC